CAAAAAACTGCATTACTTGTCACTGTTTCACATTAATTGTCAGTATGTTCATTACTGACAATACCTCACATGTAGGGCTTTAAAACTTAAGAGCACTTTCTGCACAACAAATCTGTGATATGAGCAATAGAAGTATTCTTTCTACAAATGATGAAAAGTTAAGTGGCTTGACAATGGTCACAAAAATGGTGGAGAGAAGCCAAGAAGTTGCCTGAGCTCTCCCTAGTTTCCCTCGGAAACAACATTAAATCAAGCCTTTAAATGGATTCTAGAGTGACAGAACCCACAAAAAGATAGAGTGAAACAATTTTCCAGGTTAAGATAACTTGGAAGGACCTAAGTAAAGGTCTGTCTCACTTGGGTAAAAGGGGAGTGCAATCCAGTGCAGAGAGTGTCCAGGCAAGCCAGCAGGTCTTAGCCACAGCACACATCAGCAACTGAGGCTCAGCAGGCCAGCTATGAGGCCTCCAGCCCTAGCGCAGAAGGCAAATTGCGAGCCCCAGAACCCCAGCACAACAGGCATGACGAGGCTGGGCCACTCCAGCACAGTGAGCAAGCACCTAAGGCCCCAGCATGGAAAGCCAGTGACCAGGCCCCTGGTCCCCAGCATAAGAAGCTTGGGATAGTATGCTCTGTGCCCCAGGAGCAGAGCTCAACTTTAAAAGTCATGAAGCAGACTTGAAATGAGTGAGAAACAGAAAAGAGCCCTGACCATAGAAAGCTACTATGGTGACAGAGAAGATAAAAACACAAACTCAGAAGACAACAATGTCAAAATGCCTACATGTGAAGCCTCAAAGGGGAATATGAATTAGTCTCAAGTCCAAAAAGTCCTCTTGGAAGAGCTTAAAAAGGATTTTAAAAATCAAGTAAGAGAGATAGAAGAAAAATGGGAAAAGAAATGCGAGTTATGCAGAATTATGAAAAAAAGTAGCTTAGGAAAGAAAGCACAAAAATTGACTGAAGAAAACAACTCCTTAAAAAATAGAATCGGCCAAATGGAAAAAAAAATCCACTGAAGAAAACAACTCGTTTAAAAGTAGAATTGTCCAAATGGAAAAGGAGGTACAAAAGCTAACTAAAGAAAATAATTCCTTAAAAATTGGAATTGGGCAAGTGGAAGCTAATGACTCTATGAGACATCAAGAATCAGTCAAACAAAATGAAAAGAATGACAACTGGACACACGGTTAGTAAGTGAGGGAGCCGAGAATTAAAAAGGCAGGCCTCCAGATTCTAAGGGTCAGACTAGAAGGCCTCCTGAGGCCCCTTCTCACTCTCGATCTATGTTCCTATGATCTATCCAATGCCACAAAGGCCAACCATAGGCAAGGCTGAATCTGACTTCCCGTCTCGTTCACTCTATTCATGCTGCTCCTGCATTCTAAATACAAATAAGGCAAACCCCCTTTGTGATAAGTAAATCCACAAAAACAAAGTTTTAAGCAATAGCTCAATGAATTTAATTAGCAGAAGCAGATAATCTGTATAATTTAGACTCCATCCTTCTATTTAGAGATGGGAACATTGGTTTGGTTTTTTTCTGTTCTATGGTTTTCTAATCAAGACCTCTCCTTTTATAGGATATCTTATCTCCCAGGTTTATAGCTATCTTGGCATAGCACCATTAAATCACACAAATTAGGGTGATACACCCTACATGAAGAAATGATATGATTATCTAGTTCCATTTTAACAAGAAATTCTCATAAGTCAAAAATAAAGTGAGAATTAAAAACAGTAAGAAGATTTGAGTTTGGAACAAAGAATTGATTGGCATTCAACAAAACAGCTGGAAGTGCAGTTCATTCTTCATTATTCCATATTGTCATAATAGCCATCACTTTTATTCCTCTTCCCAGACATTCTACATCATGATACCTGGTCATTATTCTCATCTCCTCCTCACCACACTACCCATTAGGACATTGGGCTCTGTCTCTAGTATACCAGGCTCTGATGGGTGAACTTCCACTTCATTTTGCCACGATTTTGCCTCCACATAATCCCCAGCCAGCTATACACTATGCCATTCTGCTGCAATGGAACCCCCTTTTCCAGCTCCTGGTTATGTACTGTCTTCCTTCATTAGAATGGAACCTCTTCTAATAGTCAAAATGACTTAGTCATTCAAAGTTGTTCTTAAAACAATACTGTTGTTACCATATACAACATTCTCTTGGTTCTGCTCATTTTGCTCATTATTTTGTGGAAGTCTATCCACATTTTTCCAAAATCATCAAGCTCAGAATCTCTTATAGGACAGTAGTATTCTATCACAAACATATACCACAACTTGTTCAGCCATTCCCCAATTGATGGGCATCCCTGCAATTTCCAGTTCTTTGCCACCACAAAGAGAACTGCTATAAACATTTTAGAACATACAGGTTCCTTTCCTTTTCCCCTAACCATCTTAGGAAACAGACCTAGTAGCACTACTGTTCAGTCAAAGGGTATAGGTAGTTTAATAACTCTTTGGGCATAATTCCAGATTGCTCTCCAAAATGGTTGATCAGTTCACAATTCCACCAACAGTGAGTTAGTGTCTCAATTTTTCCACATCCTCTCCAACATTTGTTGCTTTCCTCTTCAATCATTTTAGCTAATCTGGTAGATGGTAGAATAGTGATGGCGAGGTATATTCGCCATTTGTTTTTGAAGCCTTAATGCCTAGCACAGAGCTGGGCACATAGTAAGTGCTTAAGAGTTGCTTCAACTAGTTAGCTATCATATTGATGCTATTTCAAATTTGTGCAGCAAAAGATTACAGTTTATACAGAGAATATATATTATATAATATAAATATATATAAGTATATATTATATTATACTATATTATATATAGTGTTCCATATTATATATAGGTATCTGTAAGTATATTCTATATAAATATATATATATGTGTATGTATATATGCTATTTTGTGTGTATATATTTATGTATATGTGTATATATACATATGTTTGTATATACACATATATGTACCTGCGACAGAGAGAGAGAGAGAGAGAGAGAGAGAGAGAGAGAGAGAGAGAGAGAGAGAAGAGGGAGAGAGAGATGGGGCAGCTAGGTAGTACACTTGATGGAGTGCAGCTCTTGGAGTCAGGAAGACGCATACTCCTGAGTTCAAATCTGGCCTCAGACATTTACTAGCTGTGTCACCTTGGGCAAGTCATTTAACCCTATTTGCCTCAGTTTTCTCATCTATAAAATGAGCTGCAGAAAGAAATGGCAAACCATTCCAGGATCTTTGCCAAGAAAACCCCAAATGGGGTCATGAAGAGTCAGACACGACTAGAAAACAACTGTACAACAAAAAATAAACACACACACACACACACACACACACACACACACACACACACAGAGTTATTCCTGCCACCACTCAAACCCCAAAGGAAGTGGCTTATCTTCTGGGTCCCAGGACTGGAACCTCCTGGATTTTCCTCACCCTTAAATTCTCCCAGTCTGGGTCAAGAGCCACAAGAGTTTTCTTTTACTGATTGTTAGCTTTAACTCTGTAAATTCTTTTAGCTCCTGTCAAAGGCTACAAACTCATTACAACTCAGTTCACCCTATCTGCTCTTCTCCAAGCTTGTTTTTCTTAATAAGCTTATTTTACCTCGACATCTATTTCCATCAGTCACATACTTCCCTGGAGCACTTCTCCCTCCAGCTTCCCAGATGTTGTCTGCCTCTCCACCATTCTGTTTCGGTCCATTAACCTCTGCCCCATTACAAAAATTAACTTCCACAAAACCTACATTTACATAAACATGCACTGGACAACTAGTGTTTATAATCAGAAGGCACACGATGCTCCAAGTATCTATGTATATAATACACATATATTTCTATCAGACAGCTGTGATGTCATGGACAGAAAGCTGGCCTCAGAGTCAGGAAGATCTCAGGTGAAGATCCACTTCTGACCCATGCCTGTTGTGTAACACTGGGCAAGTCATAACCTCTGAGTGGATGGCCCCTCACAACCCTCAAACATTGCCAGTCTTGAAGCAGGCGCTGATCTGCATTGCTGGAAGGAGCTTCCTCACTGCAATTCTCTACACCAATGAAATCACAGGCACAGTTGTACATAAGTGAAATATATTTTTAGAGTTGGAAGAGAGTTTAGAGCGATCCAGTTTAATCCCTTCTTTTATATATAAAGAAACCCAGAGAGGGTAAGTGATTTGCCCAAGATTTGATTCACAGAATTTAGAGCTTAAAAGGAATCTCTGAAGTCATCTAGTTAACTCCCCCATTTTAGAGCTGAGGAAGACTGAGACTCAGAGAAGTTGTTACTTTCTACAAGTCACACAGAGATGAAAGTTAAAACCAGATCCTAGAACCCTTAATCCAATTTATTTTTCTATTATATCACAAAGAGCCAGAGCTAGAATTAGTCAAGGACTCCTCTCATTATACCAGACTGGCTTCTCTTCCGTTCTTCAACTTTTAATATATCTGTGATTGCATCCATGCAAGTATACTCTTCAACTATAGGGAACAAAACCATTTTTGATTTATCATTGTATGTCAATACCGTCCACGTGCTCCCATAAATTGACAGCAGAGAAGGGGGAGGAGGCGCACTAGGATAACATCTGGGCAGCACATCTGTTATCCCTCACTCTCACTACATGACAGGTCCTTTACTTACCACATACTAAATGGTTCATACATCAGCAAAGAAAGCTGAAGCCATCCTAGCATCATTTGCCAGAGGTATTTGTTTGGGCTTATATTTCAGTCAATATTTTAGTGTTTTCCCCCAAACAAGGGTGCATCATCAAATTGTGCTTTCATGTAAAAGTTAATTTTCAGTGGTTTCTTTACACTTGTTTATGAAACATGATGGTCATATGTTTTATTTGAATGGCACCCGATGTGATACGTACCACCACCACTTAAAAGGCTCTTCAGTGAAAAATGTGATTAGAGACTTAAAATAAAAATGGATTAAAAATCAATAGAATAGAAAAACAAAAAACTCACCCAGTGCACCAGAAGACAAGTTTTACTGCCATTGGTGACAATTTGCCTTAGTAGACAGCCAGTCCAGCTGCTGGAAACCTTTAAAACAAAAATAAAAGAAGGCTTTAATAGGAAAAAAGGCAAATTTAGGGACCTGAAAATATTCATTCCATGTAAGTACCTCTCCCACTTAAAAAAAAAAATTAAACCATTACTGAAAGACTACTTCCTTTTACACAATCAGCTATGTTCCCTGGAAAGTTACGCATTCATATACTTTGTATAAATTAAATAATGCCTCTGTTGGCTTATCATTCCAAAGATGCTTGATCTGCATTTTGGACTAATCTCCACTAGTTGCTAATACTTCAGAGTTAAGTTCCTTTGTACCCTGGTCTCTCAGGTAGTTAATGAACTGAAAACATACCCTTATATGCCCTAGAGAACCTCAATATACACAGAACTTAACTTTTAAAACCTTCCTTTGGTCTAGAGAGGAAGAATTCCTTTGTAAGGTGATAAGTAGTCTCTCTCACATATACCCCATCTTTAATACATTTGACTTTTCTTGGATTGCTAAAAACAGAACTTATCTCTCCTATCTGAAGCTACCAATTCCTATTGTCTTTAAATCAGCAATTACAGGATTACAGATTTAGGTTCAGAAGGGACTTCAGAGGCCCATCTCCCAATTTATAGATAGGAGTGAAGTAACATCCCCAAAGTCACACCGGTAATAAAGCAGCAAAGCCAGGATTCAAACTTGGGTCTTCAGACTGGAAATTCCAGCACTCTTTCTACTATATCTCACCATGTTACATCACAAATCTAGAAACTCTGAACATTTTAAATTCTTATCAGAGGCAACAGATAGATAATTGGGCTTGAAGTCAGGGAGACCTGAGTTCAAATTTGTCCTCAGACGTGTACTACCTATATGACTGTGGGTGAGTCACTTGACTTCTTTCTGCCTCAGTTTCCTCAACTCTAAAATGGGGATAACAGCACCCACCTCCTAGGGTTAACACCCATGTCCCAGGGCTGTTGTAAGGATCAGATGAGTTAATATTTGTAGTGGGCTTAGCACAGTGTTTGCTATACAATAAGTGCTTAATAAATAAATGTTTGTTTCCTTCCTCCATACCACAAGCACTATGTTTCATCCAAGCACTATGGAACAAGAGCAATGTAATGTTCTGAAAGAAATCAAAGTCCATGGTGGCACCAGTATTAGATATGACCTTCCTAAGGGACATGATTGACAAATGAATGATAAAACACTTAACATATGCTTTAGGAACTTATTATGTGCCTTAATCTCTGACAATACATGTATAAAGAAGATAGTCCCAGCCCTTAAATGAGAGTTTACTTAATATCTAACAGGGGAAAACAATACATAAGATAGAAGATATGAAGACAGAAGATATAGGAAGATAGGGATGATAGGAAATATAGATATAGATATCTAGGGAATTAGAAGGATGGGAAGGGGGATAGGTGCATAATATACACCTGGTGCCATGGTGTGGAAATGGCCAGGAAGTGAAGTGGAGGCCTGGTACCGGATGAGCTAAGATGAAAGCTCATCTACCGATCTAGCACCCTGAGAAGGAATCCACAGTTTCAGTGGGCGCTGAGGGTTGGGTAGAAGGGGAGGAAGGGCAGGACTGGAATACAGGAGGCATGAAATGGAAATGGTTGCGAAATGGTACTCCAAGTATGATTAGGCAAATCTCACCCATCAGATATGACCATACAATGGAGTTTCTTGATAGAGATAATCTACATGCAACAAATTGTCTTTAGATACAGAGGAAGGAAAATCATGAAGGAATATTTAGCTGGGAGCAAAGCGCTATGGGATGTGAAGAAATCAAAAGCAAAGGGGGCTATGACTTTCTAGACTTCCATACTCACTCAAACACACTACACTTTTTTTGCATTATCTTGCTCCAGAAACTTCCCTCTCTCCCCTGAAATGGTATTATTTCTCACCCAGACTGCCCAGGAGCAAACATAGAAACTACATCAGACATGGTGTCCTGAGCCCAGAGATCAAATCCAGGCTTGTAAATGACCGTGGCATAAAAACAAAATACCCGTGTGACTTCAGGTCTCAATTTCCTCATCTGTCAAATGAGGGATTAGACCAGTTATGCTCTCAGGTCTCTTTCTAACCATAAATCTATGGCACTGAGTAATCAGTCTTCCAGAAAATGGCTATTATAGATATTCTATCAGTAGATACCATTGCCATCTTGAGGGCTCATTCTCTTCCAATATAAAATCACAATTCCCAAAAGATAAACTAATTGCTAAAATGTTTTGGAGGGCCCTTGGGTGTCCCTACATCCATCTCTATATCATTCAGTCTATTCCGTCCCCATCTTCTCAACCTCCTCATCCCTAAAAAGAACAACAGTGGTTTATAAATAAATAGGAAGACAAGAGACAGGGAGTAGCGATTCACTTTGTTTTCAAGTCAGGGAGAAGAAAAATGAAGAGTTAACAGAGAATACTTGTGAAAAAGAAAAGAAAGTTACAAAAAGAAAAAAGAAAACCTGGAAAAAAGAAGGAAATTCCCCTGATTCTGTGCTTCCATGGTAGGATAGCCTCAGAACATATTATGAGGGTTTGAAAAGGGTAGGAATCCATGGACAGCAAATATTCTAGGGAGTGGACGACATCTGTCTGAAGCTCAAAAGATCTACTTGCTGAATGCTTCAAGTGTTCAGAGAACTTTGGAGAACATGCGGGTAGAATATATTTCTCTGATCTACATTCAACATCAACCATACTTTCCCTCCATAATATAAGTAGCAAGCCTACTGAAATTCAAAATGAAATAGAAAAAAGACAGATATCCTTAAAAGTAACTTACATACCAAAAATCTGCCTTTTTCCAAAGGGTCAGGGGTATGTTTTAAATCCATTGTTCCTTCCACCAGAAGAAACATTAAATCAAAGTCCTGGCATAAATTGGCTTTCTGCATGAAAGAGAAGCTATTTGAAAGGCAGACCTTTTGGTGTTCCCTTTCTTTGGACTATTCATCCACTTCCCATACCCTACTTAAAAATAATGAATTCGCTAGGCACTAGATTAAGCCAAATACCATGCTGTAAACAATACTGGATAGGAATCATGACCATGCTAATGAGTATAACTTGATCTTTGTTTGTTTGGTATTCAATAATCATTTATTTATTTCATAGTAAGTTTTATTTCTTTTGTTTTTATGCCACAGTCATTTGGGGACAGATCTTAACTCCCATGCTGTTGAGGGCCGATCTTAAGAGTCTGATAAGGGTTTAAGATCCAAGGCAGAGTTTGACCTCTGCTCAGGCTTTCACCCCAAAAGGCTCAGGGATTAAGTGGTACGGTTCCCCAAATTCCTTCCTGATAAATAGGTCTCTGAGACATCCCTTCTCTCTCTTTGAACCTTAGGTTTACATATTTACTGCTCTGTGCAGGTGGCACCTAGGCACCTGGGAAAACCTTGGAATCTACAGCCCAATCTAGGAACCCTGATAAGGAGGAAATTCATGATTGTTACATCCTCAGCAGATGTTCTGGGGAGTATCTCACGGGGGGGACTCTTTGAAGTTAGGCTAGATCTTCCCTATATATTCTGTGCCCTCAGATGAATAAACTGAGTCAGTAATTCTACTCCGCCTGGCCCATGTCATAAGTTATTTCACGCCTCTCCGTTTGGTGTACAATCTGGTTGCAGGCAACACCATGCAACTCCCTTTTAACAAAGAAAAACAGTGAAGCAAAACCAACCATATTTAATCATGGATACGCTCTTCTGCACCTATAGCCTCTCTCACCTTTCTTTTCTCCACTTCTCTGTGGCCCAGATTGAGTGTAACAATTACAATTCTACTACATTTTAGTGGGATTTTTTCATTTACATTATCACAGACACTCTGCATATTGTTCTGTTGGTTTTGCTTACTTCACTCTATAGCAAGTCATAGAAAACTTCCTGTGTTTCTCCAAATTCCTTATATTTGTCATTCTGTATGACACGTTAAAAGTTTATTATATTCATATGCCATGATTTATTCAGCCATTTCCCAAATCTGTGGCTACTCACTTTAGCACCAATTCTTACTGCCACAAAGTGAGTATTTGGAGTTAGTATTTACTATGAGTATTTTGGTGTATACGGAACCTTTGTATCTTTGACCTCCTTTGGGAATACGTTACTAGCAGTAGGATTCCTCAGTATAAATAGTTTCAACACTTCTCTCACATAATCCTAAATCATTTTTCCAGGATGGCTGGACAAGTTTTCAGCTATTCTGTGCTTGTCTTCCCACAGCCTCGTCAAACATGACTATTTTTAGCTTTTTTCAATTTTGCCAATTTGGTAGCTGTGTGGCACAATTAATTTAATTTGCATTTCCAATATTTTCAGTGATTTGGAGGAATTTTCATATACCATATTTTACCACATAATCATCACATCCTATTTTTTTTTCAGTCCAAAAATGATTCATAACCTTTCATCATGTAAACAATGCATGGTATAATTCTGTTTGCCAAGCCACTCTAAAGGTAAACAGAGAAGCAACATATTCACCAGTGGCATTTGGATACGCATTTATCTCTAGTGCATCATGAACTGTGAGCCTAGAATTCTCAGCACACATGCGTTGTCAGTATATTTCTGAAAGCCAACTTGCACGATTTGTTTAGAGTGCTACAGTACTAACAGTATTGTCATTCAACCCAATAAAGAGTCATAGGCCAAAAGGGAGTAGGTGGGCAGGAGAAGTTGCCATGCGTAAGTCACACGATATGGTAAGACTTACATCTTCCCAATTTTAACATATGTTCACAAGTATTCTATGCATCCTAATATTGCACCAAAGATAGTTTAGTAAAATGATTTTTAAGTAATACCGGCACAATTTTTAAAGCTTCACATAATGGTCGCATTCTACTTTTTGGCAAAAAATTTGGCATAAAATCTGTGATGATTATGTAGTGAAATAAGGTAGTCAGCTATAATTTGCAATTCTTCTTTTGAAAACTGTTCACAGCTTTTAATTATATATCTATTGGTGGATTTCTCTTGATCTTATTA